ACACCCTCTTGCTATCTGGATGGTGATGGAGGTCATGTGCTACCATTTGGGGGATATACGGCTTCTCTAATAAACCTTATAATATTCTTTCTCCTATGCTTGCCTTCCTCTGCCCGGTCCCATGGATGCATGTGTCTGATCCTCTTACAGTTACATTGATGGGCTGACAGCCCAGTTCGGGATCATGATCACAAGCCTTATTACTAGAACAACCATGCTGGTACTTGAAAATCAATGGTCTATCCCACAGCTCTGAACCCAGCTGGAAGATGTATTTCATCCAGGTTGACATAGCATGTGAGAAAAATTCAGACTCTTCCAAAATTGTTTCTGTCCATCAAGTGATGGAGATTTTCTGTCTTAGAGACACTAAAAGATATACAACGTTTCAGACCCATAAAACTGTCAATAGAATCTAGACACAGATACAAGACAGAATACAAGACAGATACAAGGGCTCAGTCTCAGACTTACTTCTGTGACCTCTGAACACTATTACACAACTTCATCATACTCTACTCTCTCAAGTAGAGCCAGATCCCCAGAACACACAAGGCCAGAGACCAGTATACAGAGTCCAGTACTGTATCAGCCCAAGCTTGATTCAATGAGGAACCAGTGAGAGAACTCTGTGAAGGGTTTGGTATTTATGCAGGGTTTGGGGACAAACAGAGAAGATGCTAGACAAAGTACAACTGGGCTTCCAGCTTCTGAACAGAAAACATAACATAGACTGTATGTATGGGCCAAAACCATGTGCATGATGGAAGTTTTATAAGATTCCTTATGAAGGGAATAAAATCATAGAAGATACTTGATGCTTATATCACTGATTGTCTATAGTACTACTTAAGAGACACATATTTTTTTCACTAGATACCTCATTGTTTACCTAAAGTCTCCTGCAGGCTGCTGATGCTGAGAGTGAACTCTATGCCAGATCCACTTCCATTGAACCTCCATGAGACCCCAGATGGCCAAGTAGGTGCAAAATAGATCAGGAGCTTGGGAGCTTTCCTTGCTCTCTGCTGGTAAGAATGTAAATAATTGCTAATGATCTAACTGGCTTTGCAAGTGATAGTGCCTCTCTCTCCCAGAGATGTAGACAGGGATGGCGACTGGGTCAACTGGACATCACAACAAGCCCCTGACATTGGAAACATTAAAACAATTAGTCATTGAATTAATGATATTATCCAAGTACTTCCATGAAGCCTCAAGCTGCTCTGTTAATAAGAGAAGAGTAATCTCCAGCATTATTCTTCCTTACCTGAGAGCCAGAGCATCAGGAGCCCCTGGAGCTGAGCATGGGCCTTCATGTGCAAGCAGTTTGTTAAGTGGAACCTTCTCCTGCATAGGGTGTGAGCAGCCTCTGAAGAAGTTCTCAGGGCAGTGGGCTGTGCTCAGGGCACATGAAAGTCAGCAGGGTTGGAAAGATTTAAAAGACATGGCTAAATGTGTAGCTTGGTGATCTTCATGAATTTCTGAGCTAGCAGTCTCCAGATCTCTCAGGTAAAATTCCTGTCTCCTATCAATAGCCCAAAAAGACCCCCCTTAAAAATAAGATTTTCCCTAAACCAAGATCTCACATCTACTTCAGTCTCTTCTGCATCATAAACCTTCATGTTCTTATGCTATTGTCTCTTCCAGTTCAGAATAACATTTTTTAGTAACTAGGCTAGAACTTGTGGTCCCAGCAGGTTCAGATTTGATGAAAGGAAACACAGTAAAGGGTGAGCAAGGCAATGAAGCCACAAGGAATGGAGAAGACATCCTTAGCATGGGAAGCAAGGAAAAACTGCCACAGACAGTGAAGGCAGAGCACAGTGAGGAAGGCTCCCACATCAGGACCATCATGTGGAGACACTGTCCACCTTAGTGCAGGATGTCACATCTGGGGAGCCACTAGCAGGACATTTACATGACAGTGAATCAACCTCTCATCATTCTGAGTCTCAGGTGCTGCAGGTTCACAAAATAACACTGCTCCTCAAAGTCAGAAGCTCACACACAAGGAAAGTCCCTGCCAAAGTCAGAGTTCTCTTCATCATCCTTCACTAAATGAACTGCATGTGGATCTGGATTTGAGAGATTCACGAACTTCGACCCTGGTTATGATGTATCTGCGGCCTGAAATATCATACTTTTGAAGCCAACGGAAGCTATGATGAAACTGTAAAAGTCATGCCTTTCTATTCACCTGCATTTAATTAGAGGAACTTTGAAGGTGGACCTGTCTTTTGATAAACATCCACTCCTGGTGCACACATCGTCCCCCTACACCTGGGTTTGAGACCAAGACATTTTAGGAATGGCTATGTTTCAGGAGGAAAGAAGAGTGGATATGACATTGGAGATCAACCACTTCACAATTTGTGTAGTAAGACTGTTATGACCTGAGCCTAAGGTAGGAATCATAAACTTAAAGATCTCTTGTGTAGACCATACTAAAGCTACCACCACATGTGTTTAATACAGCATTATTTACCATACCTAAAATACAGAACCAACCCAGATGTCCCTCAGTAGATGAATGGATCAAGAAAATGTGGTATATATACAAAATGGAATTCTATGCCTCCACCAGAACGAATGAAATTGCCCCATTTGTTAGGAAATGGAAAAACTTAGAAAAAAAATATCTTAAGTGAAGAAAGCCAGGGCCAAAGAAACACAGGTCCCATGGATTCCCTTATTTGCATTAGCTAGTATATATCTGAGACAAGCAGAAAAGTTCAGGAAAATCAACCTCATGATAGGGACACGTGTTTTGTTTTTCTTCGTTGCAATGGTTTCTAATGTATTTGAAAGGTACCATGTAATTTTCTTGTAGTTTTGTATGACCCTTCCCATGGTATAACCCCTGTTTTCACTGTAGTTGATGTTGGTATAATTTGGGGAGTGAAAGGGAAAAAGAAATTGTTTAAATTGGGATACAGGGTAACCCATGAGATGTACATGACGCTATGTCGAAAAACGAACTTTATAATTTAGGCATGGAGTGAGGGAGGAGAGAGGGAAATGTAGCTGTGGAAATGGGAGGGCAGGGATGGTAGGGGAAAAAAAGGAGGAGGCAACAATGCTTGATAAGAAATGTACTCATTACCTTGCTCATGTGATTGTAAACCCTCTGTACAGTATTTTCACAATAAAAAACTTATTTTTAAAAAAGATCTGTTGTGTGCATAGAGTAAGAAGCTGATCTGCACACAGGGATCTCAGGGTCACTGTGTCACTGATGTCTCACAGGCTAGCTGCCATGGAAACGAGCGCAGAGTGTTTTGTGTTTATTCGTTTTCCTAAAATGCCCTCAAAGTTCTGTTTAAAAGTAGTATTCTTATTTAAGATGTAAGGTGTAAGATTGATAGTGACATCCTGTGAAATACACATATAAGCTATTTGAGATGAAAGGACTGTTTCTACCACAAACACTGCCTATGTGTAATCCTAATCACTCAGGGAGACACAGGAAGGAATATGGAGAGCTTCAGGTCAATCAGGACACACATGGATAAGCCCTGTCTCACCTGACATAGCCTTGCTTCATGGAGTGGTGTTGGCAGGAGCAGAAAGGGAGCATTGGCTGAAATAGAATTTGTTCAATAGAATTTTCTGCCCCTGGCACTAAAACCAACTCTCTGTGTGGTTTGTGGTTCTTTTAGATATTCAAATGCTTCCCTAGTAAAGCTCATGATATAGTCAGTGGATAATTTTATAAATGTTTTCTGTCTGTTTGAGAATCAGTAAGTATAGAACTTCTCCAAGCATAGCTGTGGCTATGAGGCTATTTCCTGTTTTACCACCAGGGGAAGTTGAGATATTTTACATCTATCAGTGACAGAGGGATTAGGAGAACTTAAATGTAAAAGAGAAACTGGTAAGGATGGTCCTTTCCTAAGCTGATGCTTGTGCTGAGGAAAATAGCAGGGGTCTGCTTTGGATGTCTGAGTGGTCTGTGCATTTTCTGAGAGAAAATCCAATACATACTCAAGTCTAAGGAGAAGCCTTTGCTCATTGTGGGGCTTGTTTGTCAGTTAAAGGTTGATTTTCAGAAGGGAAGAACAGAATCTTCTAACCTCTAAGAGTCAGGTGAGAAAAGGCCTCCATTAGAGGAAGATCAGAGGAAACAGACATGGAACATAGCATTATGCAGTGTCACACTTCAATTTGTAGCTTTGTTAAATAAAAAATGAGCCTGTGCCAAGGAGACCTCTGTTTTCACTGTATTTGATGTTGGTATGATTTGGTGAGGGGAAGGAAAAAACAAATTGTTTAAATAGGGATATGGGTGGACCAATTGCAACAATGAGATATACAAATTGTTATGTCGAAAATCAACTTTACAACAATTGTGGGGGTGGGGAGATGGGAGGGCAGGGATGGTAAGGGGAAACAAAGGAGGAGGCAAGGATGCTTGATAAGAAATGTACTCATTACCTTGCTCATGTAATTGTAACCTCTATGTATAGTATTTTCACAATTAAAAAATGAAAATAATGGGACTTTCAGAATCATGAGTTGATTAAGCAAAAAGCTTTTAATATCTGAGTCATATAATTAATTTGCATTATATTTAAACAACATACTCTATTTATTTGGTGATATTCAGTAACATTCCTATTTCAAAAATCCATCTCACTTTTAAGCCTAGCTTTGTGACTCATTTTTCATTTCCTAGCTACTACTGTTTCTTGAGTCATTCTGCATGGGATTAGACTCTGTAATTCTCTCCAAACTATAGAAATGGCATGTTGCTGGTATATGATTTTGTCTTTGTCTTTCACATTTGGTAATAAGTGATAAATTGACTTCTGCAGTAACATTATAAATTCTGATTCTGGGAGTCTCTGGAAGCTGAAGTAATCCAAGATCCCACTTGGACAAGCTCTCTAGTATGACATCTCTGTCAAGTCCTCCAAACTCAGACTACTGCTTCAGTTCAGAGAACGTGCTATGCTGCTCACCATACAATCTGTGAAATAGGACAGCTGGGCCAAGCCCTAAAGTGATGTTTTTGTTAAGGACTGTATCACTGTGGGAGGAGTATCTATACCTTGCATGCAGTAATAAATGCCAATATCCTCAGCGTCCACCCTGCTGATTTGCAGTGTGAAATCTGTGCCTGACCCACTGCCACTGAATCTGTCTGGGACCCCAGATCCTCGGTTGGTAGCCCAATAGATCAATCGCTGTGGAGACTGGCCAGGCTTCTGAAGGAACCAATACAGAATGCTATTTCTATTGCTATATATGAGGCTCTGATTTGACCTGCAGGAGTGGGAGACCTTCTCTCCCAGGTTGACAGCCAGGGACAGTGGAGTCTGAGTCAGTATAATATCGCCACTGGACCCTGAAATTAAAATAAATGAAAAGTACAATGTTATATGTGGTAATTTTTTTTCTGTGGTTATATATTAATTGCCAATCCTTTTCATGGTTTTCCTTCTTTCCTGAAACCATTCCATATTTCAAACCATATACAAATATTAAAATAATAAATGAGGTTCTAGATCTCATGTATACTACCCACTACACAGTTGTCATAGTTGTCACCAAAGCTCAGAATGTTCATCCCTCTCATATAATTAACTTCAACTGCCTCATTCTAGAGGACAAGTTCTGTGCATCTAACCCATGAACAGAATACAAACAAGAAGCAGTGGCCCTGAGGGATCACCCTCAACCTCCTTTTCTATCTTCATCTCCCTCTGCCCTTACCAGTGATCCAGAGCATTAGGAAACCCAGAACCCAAGAACAGAGCCTCATTTTAGCTGGGAATCCAGGAGATTTGATCAGTAAAGTCAAGGTCAAGATGAGTCTTTATGTCAAACCAGGGCTGGACAGTCCTCCTTGGGGAGCACTATGCAAATCAGCAGGTGGGTGCAGCAGTGTGAGAAGAATAAAGCAGAGGGCAAGGGCATCTCTCTGGTGAAGAAAGTGACTTAAATTTCTTCTGTGTTTGGAGAAAAGACCCATAACTACCAAGCTGGCTCCAGCAGTGTGTAGAAGGACCCCTCTCCCCTGATGCCTGGATCTGCAGGGAGGATGGTGTGTACTTGACCCTGCAACTTGAAACATTAGAGGCCCAATTCATTTGAAATGTGTGTCCAGGGGAGTCTTGGTGAAGGGTCAATTTGATTGGCCCTCTTCTAGTTATTCTAGACAAAGATACTGTACACAGACTTCATTTGCCATTGTTTCTGTAGACTTCTATCCAATATTACAGTCGTCTGATCTAGGTAAGGAAATCTAATACTAACTCGAGTTAATCTGACATCACTGAAACAAAATTACCTTTTGATTAGCAAGTTATCAACAACAGTTAGAGTTGTTCTTCATAAGACAGAATCTAGTGGATTATGTCTATAATCCTAGCAACTCTGGAGGCCGAGTTCTAAGGACATGGTTCAAAGCCACACCAGGCAGAACGATCCTCTTTTGACTCTTATCTCCAATTAATCATTCAGAAATTGGAAGTGGTGCTGTGGCTGAAAGTGGTGGAATGTTAACCTTGAGCAAAAGAGCTCAGATCAGCACCCAGGTCCTGAGTTCAATCTCTACAAGTGATGAAAAAAAAATAAGATTCTTCATAGAGGGCCTAGTAAATTAAGTTCCTCATGGTTAGGTGTGTCCAAACAAAATAACCCAGAACATAAAATCCTCCTTACAGAGGGTAAACTAATAGCATTTCTAAATTAAAGAGAAACATGGCAGAGAAAACTAAATTTTACATAGGCCTTTTCACAATCAGTAAATATGGGATTACACTTCAGCATAACTCTTCACCAGACTAACAACAGCATTCTTAATATTTCTCTCTCTCTTCTATAAGACAGAATGAACAAGAACGCCTGTTATGTTCAGTTAGTCAATCAGACTAATGCAACATCTATTTTTTAATCTTTCTACAGAGTCTGCTCCTGGAAAAGTTATTAACTCTGTATGAGACCCTCCTTGTCCTGCCTGCATTCATGTGGGCAGCCACAGCCAGGACTCCACACCTCATAGCAGGACCCAGCAAGAGCTATTTTCATGTTTCAGTATAACAAACACTCAAGATTAAGTCTTCCCTTAAGCTTCATCAGAATCTACTAAGCAACTGAATGCTGGTTCAGAGTTGTACAGAGGAATTCAAATTCCACTTACACCATCCAGAGGCTGAAGAATATACATTTCTTTTGCTATTGCCCACTGTTTGTGACATTTTCTTATGGGTTACACAAAAAGTTTCTTCTATTAAAATTTTTACAGCAATTTTTATTGTGATTAAGTGATTACATGAATTTCACAAATTTCACAGGATTGTGATACTTATAGTCACAAAGTAAGTGATACTTATAGTCACAAACACATTCTAACCTTGGGGGGAAATTATCTTTATCATGAGTTATAAAGTCTGTGAATTCTATGAGCTTTTACAATACAGTTATTTCTTCCACATGAGGTGATATATTACATTTCTTTCCTTTTGCTTAGTGTCAGCTGTTCCCTCTTTCCTGCTCATTCCCTCCCTCCCATTGCTTCCATTGAGTTGCTTAGTTTGATATGATCAATGTCCAGCGCAGCTGATAGGTCCCACTGTTGCATGTTTTCCCCTATTTCCCTCTGTCTCTCTGTCCTCCTCCTAGTTTCCCTCTGATGTGCACCAATATGTGGTATATATTATTTTTAAATAAATTTATTTTGGGGAAAATACCGTACATTTCTTATCAAGCATTGTTGCCTCCTCCTTTGTTTTCCCTTCCCATTCCTTCCCATCTCCCCCTGCTTTTCCCCATCCTTCCCCCACCCCAATACCCCCAGCACCAAAGTTGTAAACTTCATTTTTCGACATAATGTTTTGTACATCTCATTGTTGCAATGGTCCCACCTATATCCCTATTTAAACAATTTGTTTTTTTCCCTTTCCCTCCCCAAATTATATCAACATCAAATAGAATGAAAACAGGAGTTATACTGTGGGGAAGGGACATATAAAGCAAAAAAGAAATAATCTTATAAATATGTTATTTGTAAATTATTTATTTTATTCTTTTGCTGCTTGCTTATGTAAAGAAAATGAGCAAACTCTTTGAGATACCATTACTGAAAGAAAGTTCCACACTGAAATTAAATGCCAATTACATGGAAGGGTAGATGACTAACACAGGTAATTTCCCAATAGGTTGTAACTTCATTCCTGTATATGAGTTATAAATGATATAGCTCAAAAGAAAAACTGAAATCTTATCCTTTGATTCCCCCATCCCTCACGAAGGAAGTGCAACCATAAAAAGACTCATATTTGACAACATTTTTATGCATTTTTATACTTGGTGTGTGTATGTGTGTGTGTGTGTTTTTGGACTTGGACTCAGGGTCTGATCTATGGACCTGAGCTTTAGTACTAAAGGACAGCACTCTTCCACCTGAGCCACATCTCCATTTCTGCCTTTTTGTTGATTAACTGGAGGAAAGAGTCTCTTGCACTTTCCTTACCTGGGCTGACTTTGAACTGGGATCAGTAGCTCTCAGCCTTCTCTGTAGGTAGGTTTTCAGTCATGAGCCTCCTGCACTGGTCTCTTGTAGATACATCAGTCATGTAGAACACTGGGATTTGAATTTATACCTCTCAAAACAGGACAAAGTATATCTTCAGGAACGACAGTTCCTTGCCGCACAACGGGGCATGGTAGGGTTTCATTCTCAGGATTGGAACATTGTGAAGTTGCTGATCAGTCCTGCTGGCCATTTGCCCTTACCTGCATATCAGGTGATGGTCTGAACTTCTCAGGTGTTGTGCAGTTGTAGAGTGTCAGTAGTGGCCATTGTTCTTAGCAAGTTGGATGCAGAGAAGAACCAGAAAATATAAAAAGGCAATAAGTTTAAATGTTTCCATGGATTGGAGAAAAGTGATTGAGAAAAATCTCTCAAGTGACTAGGGATAGAAAAAAATTACCTCAGCCCAATAAATGATATAGGTGGCAAAACTATTGTCAACATCATAATAAATGGGGAAAACTGAAATTATGAAATTATTTCCACAAAAATAAGAATATATAAGCATAACCAAGGAGATGAAACATCTCTACAATGAAAACTATTATAGGAAAATAAATAAATGAAGTGCACAAATATATACATACATATACCTCTTTTTTATTTTACCTGGATAGACTTCTATTTGCTATCTGAATCCAAAGTAATGGCACAACCCTGACTCCTCGGAGTATGTTGATATGTCATTTACAAGTCAGGAGAGGCATTATAAATTCTGTGCTGAGAGCCAAGTCAAGAAAAGAATGCTAGTATTAAAAGGATCTTCTCAGTTCCTAACAGAAGAAAAAAAATACATGTACATCTACAAACAATACCAGTAATGCATCCCATTTAGTAGAGGTTTTTCTGATTCTGATCCATAAACTAAGCTGGCTTACACCTTCAACTGCTAGGAAACTTTCTTGAATTCAAGCTCACTGAGAATGGAACCTGAGTCCTGCTTCCTCACCATGGTTGCAGCAGCAGGAAGAAGAGAAGCAAGTTTGCAACTACATGTCCAAACTACATGTCAATTCCTAAGGCTGATCTGCTGAGGGAAAGCTGGTTTGGTGACATTTTCCCTGCACTGCCATGGAGAACACAGATATCTTCAGCTGGTAGACAAATATATGGAATAGTTTTAAAATCAAAGTTCTGGAAGCCGGGAAGTCTAGAGTGTCATCTGTTTTAGACTCTTCCTGACTGTTCACTTTCTTGTAATGTCCTCACAAGGACTTTGATGCCTGTGACAGAGACAGAGACAGAGCCATCCATCCAGTGCCACATCTCCTTAAGACACTAGCAATACAGGACTTGCTACAGTCTCAGGGACCTCACATCACCTCACTCACTTTGCTGATGAGTAAGGCAGGAAATAGAGGCAAAGCCAAGTTTCCAGTCTCTAAATTCCCAAGACAGAAGACTTTCCCCCACAATTCAGCCTGCTGACAGCTCCTTCTGAGTGTCCCTGGTCGTCAAATACCCAAGCCTGGAGACTCTTTGTTAATGATAAAACACTCACTCTGTGGTTTCCCTACATTACTAGGCTAGAGAGCTCTTTTTATATATCTTGTATGTTTTTGCTACCATCTAGTGGTATTATTCTAACAGTACATGCTTTTAAACCAGGATTCTTTTTTTATTTTTTATCAATTAATTTTTAATTTTACTTTATTGCAAAGATGCTGTACAAAGGCGTTACATTTACATGAGTAAGGTAATGAGTACATTTCTTGACAAGCATAGTTACTCCCTCCTTTGTTGTTCTCCCACTATCCCTTCCCTCCCTTACTTCCCTCACACCTCCCTTGACCAAAGTTGTAAAGTTCATTTCCAGTAGAGAGTCTTGTGGGTATCATCGTTGCAATGAGTCATCCTGTGTCCTTGTTTCAGCGTTTTGTTATTTCCTTTCCCCTCCCCAAATTAGACAAATGTATATACAAGTTTCAGGGTACCAAATCAGTACAGTGAAAACAGGAGATATACCATAGGGGGGAAGAACATACAAAAGAAACAAAAAAATCACACTTTACGTTAAAAACAACAAAAAAGAAAGTCCTCTGTGTCCATATCTTAGGATTCAGGTTTCCCTCATGTGCAATAATTAGTATACATCTAAGATAATTTTATCTGAAAAGCAGAAAAGCTCAAAAACTATGTACATATGACCATCTAAGATGATATTAAGCTAAATGAACCCCAGGATTCTTTTTTCAAGAAGAGTTATAAATTATATTTTGATATATCCTTTTTAACTTTTCTA